AAACATTACTTTGTCCCCAGTTTAAAACAAATTCCTGAAAGAACAGATTTCACCATATGGCTAAATGCTAGCATAAATTACCGTCGCTTTTTCTCTTGTAGACATACTGCTCCATCTGGAAGTCAAGGTTCATGCCTCCCAGGTGGGTTCCTGCAGCCAGGAACTTCAGCACATCCTCCTCCTTCATCTGAAGGACATCCAGACCTCCGGACATCGTGACCACTTTCCCTGCGTTACGAGTTTATTGGGAGAGCTGCAAGAAACAAAGAACCCAACAGAGAAATCTAAGTAATTCAGTTTAAATTGCAAAGCAATAATCACATTGACAGGTTTCTACATCAAATATATGATTGGCTCAACTCTTAGTTTCATAGATTTTGTGTATTACATACCACAGGTTTACTGCTAATGTTTTTTTCTGCCGTCAAGATCCCGATAAAAGAGGTCTTACTCAACTTCTGTGTATCAATTTAATTTTAATCATTTCAAAATCATTTCATGTTGAGCTATAGATAAAAAGGCCATCTGCCATTATGCCAGATTTTCACTATTATCTTTAGACCCAATTAGCCTCTTTCAGCCTCACTGTAAATGAAAAACAATCCATATCCTACTCAGTATTGTTAGATTAATTGAATGACAACCTTCAGTGGTATGTAACTATTGTTAGATGTGGAAAATGTGTGCTCCATTCATTTTAATAACTTATGCTTTCCAAAAAAACATTAAAAACAATCCATTGAACTTTGTTTCCAAGTTTCAGGGGATTGTTTTTAACTTTTTTTTTGGAATAACTATGACCTGGATGACTGAGAACTTTCACCAGCTTAACTTATGCTTATAACAATGATTTTGTCTAACATGACTGGAATTATTTTAATACTTAATGTTTTCTCTTCGCACACTGAAAAACATTCCCTCTCGAGCTACGATCCAGGTGATAAAACACTACATGAAACTTAATGAGGATCAACCGGTTAAAAATGGGATCAGTTCAGTGTATTATCGCCTTAAACAACATTTATATTGATCAAAAATGACTTAACTGCAGTTTAAAGAATTTATTGGAACACAACAGCTTGAGTACATGCGAATACATACATATGAATAGAATACAAGTTTTAAAAAACTAGCCAACATAGTTTGGCTTACAGAGTAAAGGTTTAGCTAAAATACCACATAGTTTCAGACTAGTAAATTAAAAAGGCCCGATAAAGCACAGGGTGAATTTTCATAACTGCACTACAGTTCATTTTGCATATCGTTACTAGTCTATGTGGGATTTGGATCTAAAACAAAAAAATCTTCCAGAATATAGAGCGGAAAGCTAAGACATGAGCGCGTGCTCGGGGCTAGCGCGTTAGCTTTGGACGTTAGCTTCACTGTTAGGATGGAAATAAACGGTTTACATCCCAGATACGTGCTGATGTGGTGGTTGAGTTGGTTCAGAATAATAAAGACCACCGTTCGTTCCCGTCGGTGGGCTTATTTTATATATTTTAAGACTAAACGGAGTCGATTAAAACTCACCACGAAACAACGCCGTATGGAAGTCTGCGCATACGGTGAAAAAGAGGGCGTTAGGAGGAAATGACGTCGTTTTTATACTCAATTCCTAAAGACCTGATTGGTCCGTTTTCTACTATATACTGAGTTGTAAATAGCAAGTTTGTTTGAGAAAAATATGCTTGTGAGCTTGGTTTCATAAAATGAGCAAAGACACGCTTCTTATAATCCGATAATATTGGAATAAATTTAAAACTGTAGTGTCATACTTTTCAAGATTTTTTTGGCGAATTTATGGTGTTTGATAGCGTCTGTTTAATTGGTTTCTTGACCGAATGAAAAAAAATCCACTCACAATATGGCGATGCTGTTCGCGCAACGCTCCGGACTTCCGTCCGACGTCGTAGCAGAGTGTAGTTCTACCATTTGTCCACTAGGTGGGGTTCGTGCCTTTTGCTGCTGCCAGCGGTAGTGGGAAGCAAAGGTCGGCCCGTGGGTCGGATGAATATCCCATATTAAGACAATGGAGATGGAAAGACCATATTAAGACAATGCTGAGACGCTGACTTCTCGGTGAAAGACTGACCTGTGTTGTAACTATATTTGCCAGAGATAAAATGTTCCAGGAGCAGGGATCATAACATGTACACAAGGGCACAGAGTGTTGAGAAATTATTTATTGGAGCATGTCATGTGAGGAGAAAGTTAACCAGAATATTGTAATTTTGTAGAGACACAGCAGCAAAAAGAACTATGTTAACCTGAGATATTCCCAAATGATAAAGTTAGGTGGCAGGTAGAACACAACAGGTAAAGGGACTTTCTTCTACAATGGGGGGAAAAATAACCCAGTGAATAACTATTCAGTTAAATTATCAAAAAGATGTTTTCACTTCCCATATTTACCACAGAGATCTGAAGAAGAGATTTTTATTAATCCAAAACTTCCTAATGGATCTGTCGCTCTCAGAAAACCAAATATCTGGATTTGATCTTTATCAGAAAGAAAATAAATAACATCCATAAACATGTTTCTTCACATGTCCTCCTGATTAGTTGCAGTTCCTGTACAGGTCCATGTTCTTTACTATTTGATGACATGTCACCACACCCCTTTGTTTGGCTTATCTGTATCAGTGTTGTGATAAGTCCTTGGCCCTCATGTTCTGGCAGTCCTCTGAAATGTGCTGTCCGCTGGTTGGAAATCATAGCTAGGCTGGGAAACGTGACTTTCACAGAACTTTATGGTTTTATGTGCTCTGTAAAAAAAAAATAAAACTGGAGGCTATAAATTCATTGGTGTCTGAACACAGGCTCTGATGATTAACACAAAGCTTGTAACAGTATTTTGACAACATTTTCATATTGCATGAAATAAATTGCCCCTCATTGGGTTTTTATCAGAACGTTGTTCGTACCTGTGACACATGTACATGCAACATTATGAGTAATCCATGTAATTTGTATTTAAGTTTATTTAAAAACGCTCACGATTAAAAAACACCTCTCTTTTTTTATTTTCCATAATGAATATTTGCTGATGAGTACCAGGGCTTAGAGAGGTTGGAGGGCCCCTGTGCTCTAATCCCAATCTTTAGCTCCCTTTAGATTATCTATCAGATTAAACTCTGATATCTCAGAGGACACAACTAAAGATGCCTTTAAACCTAAATCTGCAATGCATATGATATTTGTAATTTGCAAAGGGAGAGGAAATTGCTGGATGGATTTCAAAGCGAAAAGAAATCTGAAAAGTGCGGCTCCCTATCTTCTCTGCTTCTCCTAAATCAAATCCAGGGGATTTAATTGACTTCTAACTGGAGACCTTTTGCTTCTGATTTAACCTCTGGATAAATCTTGCTGCCACGTGTAGGTGGGAGAAAGTTGAAGAGGTGTTTTAAGTAGGGTTAGATTGTGAAAGAATTTCCCCAAAGGGTTGAGATGGGGAGATCCTTTTAATCCACGATAGTGGCAGCATTATGCTGAGGGGTATGTTTTCTTCAGCTGGTGCAGAGAGGCTGGGTGGAAGATGACAGTTTGAGCTTCCATTAGTATGATAGCAAGTTCAATCTGATTTATAATCTGGCAGATGTTGAAGATGCATCTTTCTTGACTGAGCAGGATGGTTAAGAAGGACAAACCAGATTTGTTGTTCTCTAGATGTTTAATGTTCAAACACCTGCTGCTAAATTAAATTCATTAATAAAAGCTACTTGGTATTTCAGAACATCTAAAACATGCAGTAAGTTTTATCATTGTAAAGTTCAAGCTGAAATAGAAATCGATCCAGTTCGGATATCAGTTCTTTTATTGACCAATTAGCTGGATCAGATATCGGGTGGAGAAAGCTGATCCAGTCATTTATTCTATTAAAATACACAGCATTACAACGAGAGGAATCTAGTCATTTTAGCTCTATGTTTGAAATGTTATCTCATCAGGCACAGCAGCTAGTGATGATTTACATCCATCTTAATTTGCTACCCTTATCTTTAAACAATGTTTATGTCAGGCCTGATGGCTTCAATCTCGCAGGAAGGTTTATTCTTTGAACAGCAGGATCCGTATCAGTATCCAGTTGGATTGGGATAAAAACTGGATCGGTGCATCTTTAAGCTTAGATTTTAATCCCTTCCTCTGGTTTCTAGCTCCTATTCCTTCACCTTTCAGGGGTCAACTGTCAGATCCAGAGTAAGAAAGGAGATCTGGACTTTTTTGGTGAGAAGTCCTGGACTAAAAGTCTGTCCATGGATATTCTTAAATCACGTTTGCAGCTCAGACTCCATTGTTAAACCATAACATTGGACTCAGTCATTAATCCAACAGTTTGTCCTAATCCCAAACCGGCCGTTAAACAGTAATCCTAAACACTACCCCTCTGTTTGCGCGTTCCTGCCTCATTAAGGGACACTCCAAACGTAGTGGGTAGGGCTTAAATTGCGAGTCTACATCAGAGCAGGCTCGCTGAAATTTGGCAGTACTGGTAAGTTCAGCTGGTTTGCTGCATCTTCGTCACACTGACAAAAAAATCAAGTTAGTTATATGAAAAAAAAAAAATGTAATTCATTCTTAAGTGGAAGGTCCTCTTTGAAATAAGTTCATCTGACCGTATATTCTTTTAAGAAAGGGGCAAATGTTATAATTTTATGTCACCCTGCGCCACAGAGCTACGGCCGGGGCGTCACTGTGTTGCCATAGCAACAACTTCTTTTCTTATCCGTTGGAGGGAAGATGCCGTCCCATTCCCATTTATACCCCCTCACACCTTCAATCAAGGTGCCTTCCAAAGCTTAAACTTCATTGGGAGTGACACTGATAGTTAAGGGTTAGTGGTTAGGGAGCGGTTTGGGATTAAACCATATGTTGTATAATTCACTTCCCCTGATTTATCTCAGCTACTTTATAAAAGCCTGAAAGGGGAAAGCTTTTTGCTGATTTTTTACTCCTCTTAACACAATAACAACACATTTTGATTTTATATAATGTTTATTGAGAGGTTTTAATGCATTGGTTCCACTTTAGTTCCCTTCTGTATAACAACTCATTTATGATTCCATGACTAGTCCTCATTTGCTTTACCAGTTGGTTAAAATCACTGATCCCTGCTGATTTGTGGCTCAGAGCAGTTAGACGAAGAACGTGAACTCGATGGCACCACCAGCTCCTGGTAGAGAGGAGGATGTGATTTTGCTTTGTCTACAGCGGTAACTTTTAGGGAGGACACAAAAGATGAAGAACCATGAACACAAACACCTCAGGTGGGATGAGGCTGGAGTACCCAGAGTGTGGATCTGGAGCTAAAACCCAGGAGCTGCTTGCATTGAGTCACCACAGCTTGTCCCTGTTTTTCCTTTTTATTACTAAATCAATTCCTGCTTTTCAGCTCGGCCCATCACAGATCCACTTCCTTTTCTACCATCTGAAGGCAAATGTACCATTCCTCATCTTTAGCTCATGGAAACGTTGCTCTCTGCTCACCAGCCTGTTCCCTGACTGACAGAGAAACGCTTTCCTGACGACTCCCTCTGAAGCGGCTCTTTTCTCTGCTCTCTTCCAACTCGTCACTCCGACTTGCTGTTTATCTTCCCTTTAGAGCTTTTAATCGGGGTTTTTCCCTCAGGACTTGAGTCCAATGTGCGCCATCATCTGCTCGTACACGGTCCAGGCCATGGCGGCCATCATCGTCCTCCTCAGACACCGAGGAACTGCTCCCCTGAAGAAGCCCTGCAGCCCGTGCTCCTTATTGGAGAAAAAGAGACATCATGTTAATTCCAAGTGAAACAGATTGATTGTAATGTGGTGGTAAAGCAGGGGAGGGGTTAGCCACCTTGCAGATATACTTGATGGCCTCTGCCGTCCTCAGCTGGGGATTCACTTGGACGTGTGTTTTAACCACATCAGCGGGCTGCGTGATCAGAGAGGCCAGAACACCAGCCAGAACGCCGCAGCCACAGTTAGCAAGAGGAGCTGAAGAAGATGATCTGATCTCTGCAGGAGGAAACAAAATCCATTCAATAAATCAGAATGGAGGTCAAGGGTCTGTTATGTTTAAAATTAGCCACAGTGTGGGCTCACCTTCAGGCAGGGAGGCCTTGGTCTGGCTGTAAAACATGACGTAAATCCCAGAGAACGGAACGTCTCTGAGCAGAGTGGCCACCAGGCCGGAGAACAGAGCTGCAGGACCTTCGCTCTGACACACGCTGCGCAGGGCTCCGCTCACGCTCACGTAGCTGTACCTGCCGCACTGCAAACACAAACACTCAAAGGTTAGCTTAAAACATAGAACAAAAAAATCCAACAAAGTTGGTTATTTAGGTCACTAAAACACAGCACCTATTTCCCCCTCAGTCACCCTTCATCCACAGACTTTGACGCATTCAATGAAATCTTACGTCAGACTGACACACATAGAGAATGAATGATATAAAGCTTTCAAAATATAAGACTTTTATAACAGGCTTCTGCAGAATTAGGTTGCTTAAATGGCCTTTATTTATATGGCACAGAAGAGCGCCACCGGGCACTCTGACAGCAGACAATGCTGGTGAAGTGTCTTGCCCAAGGACACAACGACACTGAACCGCCAACCCTCCAGCTGCATGAGAAACTCCTGCATCGGACGTCACTGTTGCCCAAATGGCGTTAGACCAAAGTTTCTACGTTTGACTGATTGATTTCTACACCTGCTTTGACCTCAGAGGTCATTTCAGATCTGCCGTCTGATAACGGGTCCGAATGAGCTTTATTTTATTTTTTTCTCCAGTTAAAATTATTAAACATGAATTAAAATCAACCTCAGAAGGATTGTATAAGTAAAATACATTGCAAAACCCTCATTCCTTTTCCTTCCACTTTTTAATTAGGGGTGGATCTGATAAAAAAAAAAAGTTTTATGCAACAGTAAGAGCTGTTTCTGTTCCTCACTTTGCTTAAACTTAGGGTCACACTGTAGGTCTTGCTATATTCCATTTTGTTTCAGACTATTCATAAAATGCAGCCACCATTAGGCTCCAGTTAGAGGTTTATCAGCCCCGATGCGACTCGCATGTGCAAAAGGACAATGTAGACGTCACACGTTTAAGCGTAGGAAATCTGCTCCCGGTGTATTAATCTGATCAGTTGCAGCCCTGCTCACCTCAAAACGTGTCTTTATGACGGTAATGGGCAGCATGACGACCCCTGCTATGGTCCGAGCCCCCCCACCCAGCATCACAGCCTGCGCAGCTCCTGGCCTGTTATCCTGGAAGAAGTGCTGCTTTAGGGAGTGATAGGAGCTGAAGTAGATTCCCACTCCTGGGATGGTACGGATGCAAGACTAGAAAAGTAAAAGCAGAGAAGTCCTTTTTAGATATCATCTCCCCTTCATGTTGCCACCATGTTAACATGGACACATCTTTTGGTTTCTGTTAAACAGAGAGATGCCTACCGGTGAAACACCTTTCCAGAGTCCCAGCAGTCGCTCTTTCCTCACCACGCCGAGAATCACCGACATCATCCCGACCCGGGTTGACCTGAAAAGGGAATAATCAGATAAGTGAGATAAGAGGGAAATGCTGAACAATGCTTTTATTTGTGATTAAGCAAGGTAAAACTATTGGGAATCAATAAATCTATAAACTCACCCTGCCTGCATGCCACTCTGCAAGGTCTGCAGACGGGTCTTGACCAGGTCCAGAGGCTGGAAGAGTAGGGTGGAGCAGGTCCCACTGAAGGAGCCGCACACGAAGGCTTTGACTGCCGGGTGAGCCTGATGAGGAGCATGAAGGGAGATTAAAACATATTTAAAATCCACAGTTTTAACACTTCATGAGTATTCTGAGTAACTTAGAAACTATCAAGGGTAGTTTTATTAGAAGAAACAAACAAGAAACCTCTTGACAGCCGCAAAACTCACCAGTGACAGTTCCATAGCGCTTGAAAATGATAAGGTCCTCCGCTGTTGGCTGGGTTTGCAGGGAACCTGAACGGAGGAGCAGAGGTTGCAACTGAGAGCCTGTCGCTGTGATGAACGGAGGCTGAAGTCTGACCCAGAATAGCACGCGTAGCCCTTTATATACATGACTGTCATCTGACCAACACGGCGTTTCCCATTTGTGACCACCCCAACACACTGCTATTTATTAACCCACTAACGGATCATCATGATAGTCATTAGTGCAAATCTAAGTCACAGCTGCAGGGCGTCTGTCATGCTTCAGTTCAACTAATAAATAATATCTCCCATTAGTTGCTATGTATGAGAAATAACTTTAATGAACAGGACTGTACACACTGGAAAAATTCCCCAATCTAGATAAGTCCATTATTCTTAAACTAAGTGCATTTGTTCTTGAATTGAGGAGGTAAGTGAGACACTTTGCCAATGGAAGGAGACAATTTAGATCTAAAATAAGAAAAAAAAATTGCATTGTCTTATTTCAAGTTCATATTATCGATTTAACTTATCATCTTATTTATACACTCAAATTAAGGGTAAATACACTTAATTAAAGACATTTTTAGTTATTTCTAGATTGTTTTTGCAGTGCATCAGGACAAAATGTTATGTTCGAAACATGTTAATAACAATGAATCCCTATTTCTTATTTCCTTTTATAAAATATAAAAGTTTGCATTCTGTAGGATGATTGTGGTGAAAACCATTTTTAGTGACTTACAGGCCACTTAAAGTGCAACACTTCACCATAAGACTGTAATATTACAAACATTGATAAAATAATTATATTCGTACAGCTTTAAATGAAAATAAAATGGATAAAAAGTCTAAATATTTTGGTAAATGCTTCAATAATTAAATAAATACACGAAAAAATCATTAAAAAATCCAAATTAATACACATTTATACACGTCTAAGTTTATATAAGTCTCAGTATTTATTATTTACAATTATCCTGAGCTAATGGAAAGTATAAAATTGAATTACTAAAGCTTTTTTAATTGAAATTAATTCACATGGTAAGCATAATCATATTTGACATTGTTTCAGGTAATGAAAGCTTACATTTAACAGAAGTAGTACTAAAGTACTAGTAAAAAACTTTTCACACCAATATTTCAACCTACTTTTTTGGTTGAAAATATCTGGAAATTCATATTAGCTGAAAACCTAATTTTCAAACTTTTTGTTGTCTTTATTGTGCGATAAAAAAATAAAATAAAAACGACACCTGTAAATCACAGCGAAGCAAAGTCATGTAAATTGTTGAAGAAGTTGTAGTCTTTAGAAAATGTTCCTTCAATCACCTCTAAATCCTGTGACTGCATCAAACTGCTTCCTGACCAAAACCAGCTGGCACCGGTTTGGAGAAGCAGGAGCATGTTGTTGTAAATAGGCCACGCCCACCACCGAACAAGCGAGTGTGTGATTGGTTAAATGAAACATTTGTGTGTGACGTCTCATTTTCTCAATCCTTATTAATAATTTTTTATTCTTCGATAAAATAGATTCATTCACATCTATCTACATATTTAACGAATTTTCTAAATTCTCAGTTGTTGAAGATAAATGCAGTAATATGGAACTAGTAACATGTAATTTATTCTACCACTCTTCCCCCTCTATCCATTTTTGGAATATTCTTGTTCTTACATTATATATTCTTCAATATATAATGTTTAAAATCAAAACATACATTGTAATTAACTGTAAGAGTGTAATACTATACATTTCCCATGGAGACAGTTACTTTTATTACAAACCTACTGATTTAGTATGGAAAATTTCATATATATGAATGTAAATATGCCAAAAAGTTCCTCAACTTTAGATGTTTCTTACACAAATTCAAAGGGACCCTTAGATTAATTGATTTGACACAGAAAAAACTTATAAAAAAAATAAAAATAAAAATATTTTTAAAGAAATTTTTCAAAGAATAATGTATTCACACCTCTTTTAATTGTGTAATTTTATCTTAGAGCACCTGTCTAATGTTCTTCTGTATAATCGTGTTTGTAAAATATTTTCAATAACAAAAAATCATTTATTCTTTGAAATCTTTACAATCTATTTCTGATATTTATTTTTTTCTGGTCAATTAACTTCTGACATGTGTGTAACTCTAGGGTTTCTTCTTATCTGTGCTTCTGGACAGTTGATTCAAAGCTTGAATGACAGAAAAAGCGTCTGACGTCAAAGTCCTGCTTGAACAAGCCGGGAACACAATTTCTGTAGTAAAACCGGCTCTGACCAGTTTAAAGTTCACCACAGCTTCAATGGTGAAACAATACGACATCTGCTGGTGATAACATTACCTGTAGTGATGTGAAAGTTTTACTGGATCAAACAATTTTCAAATTTAAGCAGAGATGTCAAAATAACATCAATAAAATTACAGATACCTGTTCTCCGATAAAAAGTACCAACTAAACTCTTTTCTCTAAGTAAAGAAATACAGTTTCTAAGTTGTACAACTTGAGTACAAAAGTAAAATTAATGTTTTTGCCTGAAATAAGAGTAAATAACTTTAAAAAACTCAATTTTTAAAACAAAAATGCTATATGCATAGAGAATGGGTTGTTTCCCCATTTTGCACATGGTGTCAGTAGATAAAACATATACCAACTTGGTCTAGAGGTCCTTCTCAAAATATTAGCATACTGTGATAAAGTTCATTATTTTCCATAATTTAATGATAAAACTTGAACCTTCATATATTTTAGATTCACTGCCCACTAACTGAAATGTTTCAGGTCTTTTATTGTCTTAATAGGGAGGATTTCGGCATACAGCTCATGAAAACCCCAAATTCTTATCTCACAAAATTAGCGCATTTCATCCGACCAATAAAAGAAAAGTGTTCTTAATACAAAAAAGTCAACCTTCAAATAATTATGAACAGTTATGCACTCAATATTTGGTTGGGAATCCTTTATCAGAAATGACTGCTTCAATGCGGCGTGGCATGGAGGCAATCAGCCTGTGGCACTGCTGAGGTGTTATGGAGGCCCAGGATGCTTCCATAGCGGCTTTTAGCTCATCTACAGTGTTGGGTCTTGCGTCTCTCAACTTTCTCTTCACAATATCTCACAGAGTCTCTATGGGGTTCAGGTCAGGAGAGTTGGCAGGCTAATTGAGCACAGTGATACTATGGTCAGTAAACCATTTACCAGTGGTTTTGGCACTGTGAGCAGCTGCCAGGTCGTGCAGAAAAATGAAATCTTCATCTCCATAAAGCTTTTTTAGCAGATAGAAGCATGAAGTGCTGCAAACTCTCCTGATAGCTAGATGCATTCACCCCGCCCTTGATAAAACACAGTGGACCAACACCACCAGCTGTCATGGCACCCGGACCATCACTGACTGTGGGTACCTGACACTGGACCTCTAGCATTTCCTTCTCCCCAGTCTCCTCCAGACTCTCGCACCTTGATTTCCAAATGACATGAAAAACTGAGCAACAGTCCAGTACTGCTTCTCTGTAGCCCAGGTCAGACGCCTCTGCCGCTGTTTCTGGTTCAAAAGTGGCCTGACCTGGGGAATGCGGCACCTGTAACTTATTTCCTGCACACGCCTGTGCACGGTGGCTCTGGATGTTTCTACTCCAGACTCAGTCCACTGCTTTCGCAGGTCCCCCAAGGTCTGGAATTGGCCCTTCTCCACACTCTTCCTCAGGGTCTGGTCACCTCTTCTCGTTGTGCAGCGTTTTCAACCACACTTTTTCCTTCTCAAAGACTTTCCACTGAGGTGCCTTGATACAGCACTCTGGGAACAGCCTATTCGTTCAGAAACATCTTTGTGTCATACCCTCTTGCTTGAGGGAGTCAATGAAGGCCTTCTGGACAGCCGTCAGGTCGGCAGTCTTACCTATGATTGGGGTTTTTAGTGATGAACTAGGCTGGGAGTTTGAAAGGCTTCAGGAATCCTTTTGCAGGTGTTTACAGTTAATTTGTTGATTCAGATGATTAGGTGCATAGCTCGTTTAGAGACCTTTTTCATGATATGCTAATTATGTGAGAATCATCCGCATTAAGACAATAAAATACCTGAAATATTTCAGTTAGTGTGCAATGAATCTTAAATACATGAATGTTCAAGTTTTATCATTGCATTGTGGAAAATAATGAACTTTATAACTATATGCTAATATTTTGAGAAGGACCAGTATAAAACTGTCTCAAATCAGAGGCAAACTCCAGAAGCCCTTGTCAGTTCTTTCAGCCCCCACTAGAGAGATATGTAGTTGAAGTTTTATTTAGTTGGAGTTAAGTTCTAAGCACAGTATAAATCAAAGACCCACCTGCGTTCTCCTTGGTTTTTGGAGCCTTGTTTTGTGTTTGGCCATTTAGATCATGTCTCTTTGGACCAAACCAGCCTCAAAGCATTTACAACCAGGTCCTGGTACTTATTCCAAAGAAGCTACACAAATACACTGGTCATGATTCAAAGGGCCAAACACAAGACCCATACAAAGCAGCTCTCAAATCCCATTGGTACATTATTTGGATCAGACTTGTAATGTACTTGGGAGGATGGGCGTCCAGGTGCATTAAAAACATCAACGCTCAAACCACAGATTTATCTATTCTACTGAACCAACAAAGACTCTTGTATAGGTGTGAAAATATTTTCAGAAAAACTAGGTGAAAGTTGAGTTGCCTCCAATTTAAGCTTGTTTTGTAGTTGCCATGACGCAGGTGACTGAGAATTTGGTCTAGCCTCTGCCTTGGTCTAGATTGGTTCTAAATATAAATTTTAAACAGGATGATACAGATTGAACTGAACTGAAATATGCAGTTAAATATTACAGTTGCAAATAACAATGAAATTTAAAACCTATATTTAAAGGGGAATTGGATGAGGAATGTCTTACATCTCAGGATCATATTTTGCCATCTGGAATGTTTTCGAACACAGTCTTATCTTTCAATTTTCTCTTGATTTCGCTGTGTTAGTTTTCTACATCATGTCGTTGTAAATATATATACAGAAGTACTGAGTACATTTTGAGAAAGGAATAGAAAGTACAACTATAAGTTCAAATGTAGTAAAAGTACTCCAGATAGAGGGCAAAAAGCCATTTAAATACATATTTTTCAAACCTCTGCATTTCAGGCCCAAACGTAAACATTTTATTAGTTTGATATAAGGGACCAATAGAATGCTTGGCAACTTCTTTTTAAACAATGTGTATTTATTTGTGCTGTGGATTTGTTTCCTAACTTTGCCAATACTGCGGGTGGCTGTAATCACAGGAGTCTGTTTAAAATGCAGACAGAAATTGCTGAAATTATTTAATGTTTTGTCAGATTTTTTATTTGTATTCAGAATGGACCTTGACTGTGCCATTTTAATGGAGGAATACTTTGAATTTTCATTGTAGCATCTCAGGTTTTCTTCCAGGATTATTTTGTGAAGCCCCATCCCCATTTCCATCAGCTCCCTCATCACTGCTGAGGAGAAATATGCCACAAACTCTGATTTGGTGATAATTCTCACAATAATGTACACACTGGAGGGTCTGCCGTAAAATCCCAAATAAAATGCAAAAAGGTTGAAGGCTTGAAAGGGAAATTTGAAAGGAACTATATTCTAACTGGACTTCCAACCAGATAGTCCATACATTCCTGTTCTACACTGGAAAAATGATCTAGAAATAAGTAAAACTTTATTCACCCTTAATTTGAATAGGTACATGAGATAGTTTGCCAATGGAATGAGTATTTTTACTTTTAAAATAAGATAATTAGAAGATCTGCACTTGAAATAAGACAATGCAATGTTTTCTTATTTTATGTGTAAATTGTCTTGTTCCAGTGGCAAAATGTCTTTTATCGCCTCAATCCAAGAACAAATGCACAAAATTGAAGAAAAACTGACTCATCTAGATTTCTATTTTTTCTAGTGTAGCATTAATGTCTGCAAATAACTTAACATTACAACTGAGGAAACAAAGAAAAAGGATCAAAATGCAGTTTAAAAAGCATCTTTATTTGCAATATCATATTTGACCACATGATTTCCATTCCAGAGTTACAGAAATGTTACAAAATAACTGGAACACATTTCCTCTTTCTTTCGGGTTGCCTTTTTAAGTAAGAAATACGTGGCCTTTCGTATTATGAGCCGTTATTTTGGAAGTAACAACACATTCCTCTCACTTTCCAGCAGTGTGAGCCAAAAGGAGACCGTGACACAGCTGTGAGGGGTTCACACCATCCCATCATCGACAGCAGACATCTACACTAGATCAACACCATCCTGTACGTACGCCGCAACCTGCTTCTACACGTTTTTCAGTGATGAAGAATGTCTGCCTCCTGAATCCACCTTTGGTTCAAAATTTCAGTTACCTCTTTTAAAAAGCTGTGCCACAAGAATACAGTGTGTGCTGCGAGTCAACAAACAAAAAAAAAAGAAGCTACCCCACCCTTTATACTTCACCCTGAACAAACAAAAGCCATGAACCCTGCCAGGTAGGAGTCAGTTACATTTAAGGCTTTTATAGTGTGTGTTGGCAGTGTGTCTATGTGTGTGCTTACTAAACAAGCATGCGCACGGTCATTCAAGGACTTAAAAGCTTCATCTTTGCCGCTTCAATGAAATCTACGAATGCAGTGGTGCATCATGATGGTTAATAACCTTTCTTCCATCTCAGTGCAAAGTGAGACATTTCAGCGCACCAATTAGACACCTTCAGTACGTCTCTAATTGAAGAAACAAGCCTTCAATTTTACCTCTACAAAATGTCCTCGGCCAAAAAATACATTGTAACGAGTGCTAATTGCAGCTAGGTCTGTAGAGTACATGTCAGGATATTGTATAAATCTTCATAAACCTCAAAGAAGAAAAAAAAGGAGCATAATAAACATGAAGTACTTCCACTCTTAACCATTATAAAAAAAAATACACTTCTGCTTGATATTACTTTGGTCCCCTTCCAGTAATCGTCTTCATTTATTTTTGTATGTTTTTTTCTTCCCCTCAATTAGAAAAATAAATCCTACGAATCAAGATTATTATGAGTCAAAATTTTCCTTATAAAAATAGTTTCATTTTTTTTTTCAGAGAATGAAAAAGGAAGCGATGAAAAGAAATTGGCCCAACGATAGAAATGTGAGAGTGAGTCGGAATGGCGATTGTCTGCGTTTACTGGCTAATGTCTGTATGCGTGTAGCTGTGCTCATGGCTGCATAGTTTGATGCTCTTCGAATAGATCAGAGTCGCAGGACTAAACCTGGAGGACTGAGCTGAATCCCTGTTTAACTTTTCTTCCTTCTTTCAGTAATGGCTTTTTTTTTTTTTGTATTTGGGTCTTTCTGGTTGTAGGATTCAGCTGGGATGAGCAGAGCGCCGTGGTCCGTCTATGCTTGGGGCTCCGGAGCCTCTGCCTTAGGCTCACTTTCTTCATCGCTTTCCACTGCGCCGCGAGTGGTGGTGCGGCGTATGGTGAAGGGGAGATCGCCACGCCTGAAATAGGAAAGGCAGGGAGATATTTAGGCTTGTATTTGACACTATGGTGGTGATAAAGTCCTACAGTGTCTTTGTGGTCACCCTTACCTGAGCTTGCCTCTGAGGGAGGTGACCTCACGGTTCATGGCGTCGGCAGACTCTGTGGCGTCCTCCAGCTCCCTCTGGAGTTTCCTTCGGTTGGCGTTGGCTCTCTGGGCCTCTTCCTCTGCCTCTTCCAGCTGACGCTTCAGCTGCTTCATGCGAGAGTTCAACTTGTCAGCCTGGAATGAGAAACAAGGTCACACGAGGGCCGAAGAACGAAAACTTTTCTTGCAAATGAACACAGAACACAGGAAAGTGGATCCTTCTCATGTAATAATAAAAAAAGCTGTCCTCCAAACTGACCTGGTCCTTATGCTGCTCTGCGTTGCGCCTCTCATCATCCACCTGCAGGATGACTTCCTTCAGCTTCTTCTCGGTGCGTCTCACCAGTTTGGTGGCAGCCTGCCTCTCCCTGAGAAAAAACCCTGTTATTAGTCACTGGTGTTAAAAACATCCTACAGAAAGTAACAGCCAATTTAAGCGATCTACACTTCAGCTACAGTCGAGTCAGCTCTAAGGTCTCCGCCATCATGAGTCAACCATGGAAACTGATCAGTAGTGGAAGGTCAAAGGTATAGAAGGGAATTCATCTAAAATATACTGATATAGAGGAACAAAAATCTGTAAAAGGTGGCCTAGGGCTTGGAATTTGGAGGTTCTCAGTTCCCACGGACTTCTACTCTGGGTCTCTGAGCCAAGACCCTTAACCCCACACTGCTCCCCGGGGTGCCGAATGATGGCAGCCCACTGCTCCCCAAGGGGATGGGTTAAACGCAGAGGTAAATTTCTCCAATGTGAGATCAATAAAGTTCAATTATTATTATTAAATAAAGCAGGCAACATTTTTTGGTGTGAAAGTCATTACAGAGTAGAAACAAAAGACTCAAAGTAAACATTTATTCCCTTAGAGGTGTATGAAACGTCTAGAAGGAAGGTGCTTTAAGCTTTAAATGACAAGACTACATTTTTGCAAAGTTCCTTTCCTCCTTTAAGAGTCTGAGTCCGGATGTTTGACAAGATTTAAACTTCTGCTAACTCCCTGCTTTATAAAGAGCGGCTGCAGAATCTAACAGTGGTAGTCCTGCTTATTATATATTAATATACTGAGGAACCGTATTAGTCTTTAATTTCAAAATAAGATCATTAGAATACCGTTTAACAGCAGTGTTGTGTGACTGATGGCTCTCTTTTCAAACTAGGATAAAAATAAACAAGCCTTTTGCTTTTTACACCACATTATAAATTATCTAAAGATAAAGAAAAAGTTCAGTGACTTCATGTTTTTTTACTGTAAACCATTAAAGTTCGGTGTTTTTGATCTACTTGAAAACTAAAAATCATTCAAATTCATTAGAATATTTTTATAGATTGAAGATGTGTTCATGCTGCCATGTTTGAACTTCTCACCTGGTCTCCAGGTCCAGCTGCTCCTCCAGCTGAGCGATCTTCGCCTCCAGGGCAGCCATGTTGGCCTTGTACTTGGACTTGACGGTTCCTTCCAGCTCCTGGAGTTTCAGTTTCAGCTCCTTGTTCTGACGCTCCAGCTGGCTGCGAGCCCCTTCCAGTCGCTGGGAGGTGCTGCGCTCTGCGGTCAGCTCGATGTTTATCTGATCAGTCTAAACGACACAGTTGGGGTTTAATTATATGCAGTAATTAAGCCTGAAGGCTGGTCATGCAGCTGGCTTACCTGCAGCATCGCCTTCTTCAGACGGTCGTTGGTCAGCTCGGTGTTGCACTGCTCCTCCTCCAGCTCCTCCTCTAGCTGAGCTATACGCGCCTCCAGACGTCTCCTCTCTTCTGCAACCTGAGCGCTAATGGTTGAAAAAGCAAAAGAGGTTCATAAATGACAGTTCCAAAAGCAAAATGGCCGCTACCATCCTTTCAGATGGAGGTCATACTTCTTGGCAGCCTGGTTGTTGATTTCATCCTGCAGTTCATCCCTCTCCTGCTGGGCCTGCCTCTTCACCCTCTCTGCAGCTGCCAGCTCCTGAACATCGATATAAAAAGAAAAGATGTCAGCAATCAGCTAAAATAAGGATTAGCAGCAAGCTGAACATCTGGTGTGTAAACTGACCTCCTGCATCTGGATCATATCAGCCTCCATGGCCTTCAGCTTCTTCTCCGTCTCCTTGCTCTGGGTCAGGATCTCGTCTCTGGACAGGCGGGTGTCTTCCAACTCTCTGATGAGATCCTTCATCTGAGCCTGAGAAAACAAACGGGTCCAAATTGAGCTGCTGGGACGCCATGTTTAAGCACTGCAGGACTTCCTGGATCCTCTGCTCACTTGGAGTTTCTTCAGCTGCTTCAGGGCGTCTTCGCGGTTCTTGTTGGCCATGTCGATGGCCGCCTCCAGCTCCTTCAGGTCCAGCTCCAGCTTCTTGCGTGCGGCGACGGCGGCAGAGCGCTGCTTCCTCTCGTCCTCCAGCTCCAGCTCCATCTCACGCACCTACAGGATCCACATTGTTTTATGTTAAATCCAAAGAATATCGTACTAACTTCCTTGTAACCAGAATTTAAAAAATGACAGTGCCTTTCAAAAGTATTCCCAACCCTTCAACTGTTTTTATATTTGGTCAATTTACCATTTAGGAGAATTCTGTAGTAAGCCGGTTTATTTAGGGGTATCAATACTTGAGCTAGACTATTTCTGTAAACCAGCGGTCAGACCTGTTTGATCAGTGCCCTCTTCTTCTCCTCTCCCATCTCGTCGCGCCCTGCCAGGTCTCGCTCGTACTGCGCCTTCATGGCCTGCATGTTGACCTCCAGACGCAGCTTGGCGTCCTCTGTGCCCTGCAGCTCGTCCTCCAGCTCCTCCAGCTGGGTCCTCATCTCCTCCAGCTGCTGCTCCATGGCACGTTTAGCCTTCTCCAGTTCATGGACCTGCAAAGGACGACCAACAAGTTAAAAACTTGCATTTAATAAGAAGAATCATCCAGAAAAGAGCCTTTCTTTCCCCTAAACTTACATTCTTGCCCACGTCGTCCTTAGATGAGACCAGATCCTCCATTTCAGCGCGCAGCAGCTTGTTGTTGCGGTCCAGTTCTTCCTTAATGTCCATCAGAGACTCCAGCTCTCGGGTTAGAGCCAGTGCCCTGGTCTCCTTCTCGCGAGCCTCAGCTTCTGCTCGGTCGCGCTCCTCTGCATAGCGGGCAGAGATGTTCTTCTCCTCTGCAAGCATCTAAAAACCAAAAGCCAATCTTAGAACTTCAGTTCTAAACAGAACATGCACATCCTGGAATTAGAATCTCCAAGCGTTGATCCACCTGGTCAAACTTCTTCTGCTTCTTCTCCAGGTTGGAGACAATCTGGCGGAGGTGGTCTTGATCCACCTGCAGGTCGTCCAACTCCTGCTGCAGACGTGTCTTCGTCTTGTCCAGCTTGTCGTAAGCGGCACATTTCTCCTCGAACCGCTGGATGGTGCCATCCAGCTCCCTCTGAAGTTTCTTCTTTCCCTCCTCAGCAGACTCCAGACACCCGGCGTCTTGCTCTACCCTTTTCTTCATGTCAGCAAGCTGTGGGGGAAATTAACATTACAGCAACCATCATCTATTGGTGGGGTCTCCTAATTATTAGGTTGAAGTCCCCTGATGAAGGCAATAATTAGCTCTGCTCTATATGTTAGCAGAGGAAAGGTTTAGCTGCTCCTTACCTGAGCCTGCACCGTCTGAAGCTGCTTCTCCACGTTCCTCTTAGCCTCTTCCTCTTCCTCCAGCTGTTCTCTAAGGCTGTGCTGCTCATCCTCCAGCTGGCGCAGACGTGTGCCGAGCGACAGCTTCTGACGAGTCTCTTCTTGGAGGAGTTCCTGTGGAAAAATTCAACAAAAACTTTGCTGAAACAAACGACTGCATCCTGACAAAGGTAACATTTGGGTTTTCTGTGCATTTTATCAAGTGTTGTAAAAGTTTAAGGTTTAACAGCTTAGCTAAGCTAAGCTAACTGTTTCCACTGAATTATTATAGAGACACTCGCACTTAATACATAAATGATGCTCTGAGGGAATTTTATGTAAAACTTTCCTTATTTGCAGATGTAAATTTGTTCCGATGGGTTAGGGTTAGGAAGCAGTGGGTAATATCACTTTAGAAATGTGCAGGAGATAAAATAATAACTAGAAGCTTGGAGAAGGGAAGGAAAAGTCTGCAAGTGAAGTAAAATAAATGACTTCTTTGGAGGGATTGTTCTGGTGGAAGGCTCAGAAGCATCTTGCTAACCAGTTAGCAACTTAGTGCTAGTAGGTTCCCAATGGGAAATAGCAAGTAGCGCTAAATTGGTGACTTAGAAACGACACTGTCAAGGAACGCCATGGACAGAGGAAACATGCAAGAGGAGGAGAGTTTAGTGTCGGAGGTCGTGGATGAGTCTCCTCCGTCATACATTTTTTTATTTAGAGGAGGAAAGCGGGGATGAAGATGTTGTGGAAGAGGACGCCAGGGTGGCAGAAGCTTGGTTTGGTGTAGAAGGCTTACAACCGTACATGTTTGAGCCCTTGCCTCGCAACACTGCCAGTTCTGTTAGCTCTACGCTGCTGAAGACACAGCAACCATCCCCGTGAACACTGGGACGGAACTCAATGGGAAAGGAAATGATTCTTATTTCAACTGTTGCGTATATTAGCTGCGATATACGAATCAAGATGCTATGACCGAAAAAAATTATTGAGAAATGAGCGTTGATATATGATTGGCCAAATTTAGGTTTACAAGCTGACGTATAACTAAGTGGCCTGCATAAGATAAAAACAAAACAAAAAAAAAAACAGATTTCTAGACAATAATTTTTTTTTTTTATGTAGAAATTTTGATTCTGATAAATAATGATTTATATACATGTTTAAGTCAGAATGATTTGACATTGAAATATGACTTCCCTACGACTTTAACAATAACTTAATAATGCATTACTACAAAAATATCTTAATTTCCAAGAGGTTGGGAAAGAATGAACAGTTAGTAAAGCAATGGAGAGCAAGTACTAAACAGGTGAGATGGAAATATGGAGCTTTACAGGATAAATGTATTTAATCTGGATATTATTATTATTATTATTATTATTATTATTATTTGGTCTATATTATATATCAACATGTGTAGACCAAGGCCTGATCTGAAGGTGGGTTTGTAGATACTGTCCCATTATTACTCTATAAATCATACCTGGGTGTCCTGCAGCTGCGATTCCACAGCAGAGCAGTCTTTGTTGGCCTTTATGGATTTGCCCTCCACCTCGGTCAACAGAGTATTAACGTTTTCCAGCTCAGCCTGAAGTGACAAGAAAAATCAAACTTTAATGAACCGCTGAGGGGTTAACCCTTTAACAATGACTACTCTCTACATGTAATGGAGACCGCTGACCAACTAAGAATTTGGAAGGAGATCGAGACCATACCTGCACTTTAGTCAGTTTCTCTGCCAGCTCCGTCCTCTGACGCTCCGCCTCAGAGAATTTGGCTTGCAGCTCCTGCGCCAGTCCTTCAGCCTTCTTCCTGCGGTGCTCAGAGTCCGTCTTACCCTGCATCAGCGTCTGAAGCTCAATCGTCAGCTCGTTCTTCTCTGACTCCAGGGCCTGTTTGGCCTTCTCCATCGACACTTTGTTCTGCAAGAGAAGGACAAACCATCAGTCTTGTTTGGGACAATTTACAGTTGGAAGAAACTCAGAAACAAAATGTGGTAGGTTGGATCGGTTACCCTCTTAGCCTGCTCCAGCTGCTCGTTAAGTTCATCGAAGGCCTGGCTGTGTTTCTGCCTCATCTCAACCAGCTGCTGTTCATGGACTCTGGCTTCTTCCTCCAGATTCTTCTTCAGCTGAGTCACCTCCGTCTCACGTTTAGTCCTGGAGGTAAGAACCGAAAACTAGGGGTCAGCAACCTTTACGACCTGAACTACCATTACTGGCCCTGATCCTACTTTATGTGTTTGAGCCATAAAAACAGAACATCTACTGAAAAGTGACGTTTAAGTTATATTTAGGGCTGAAATGATTTTAAATCATTTAAATAATGATCAACTGACTGTACTGTTACTCTAGGTAAACTATTCAGACAGTAAATAACACCGTTTGCTGTAAGAATAACCAACCTATAGAGTGTTTAAGAAAAGACATTAACATTTTCAATTTAAGCTAAATGTTTTACCAATATACATATTTTTTTTTTTACGTTTTTGTCATTCAAATTCATTTAATAAGCCAAATAAAGGGCTCTTCTATAAATTCCAAACATTTGTTTACTTAAAAAATTTGAGTAAATTAGCCAAATGCTAATTTTCATTTAAGTGTCTCTTTTTAGATTAATAAATATATCGAATAAAATAGAGGAATCGATGACTAGAATAATTAATGGCTGCATCAATGGTAAGGTGTTTCGGTTTTAGAATAAAGAAAAAACATTTAACTTTAGAAAAACTGAAAAATAAAAGTTTATTAGAAGGGATCATTCCCTACCACAGGGAAAATGGAAACCTAATAAAGAAATGACTATAGTTCTGTATGAAGAGCGGCTGTGCAGCACAAAGAGCCGCTGGAGGCTCCAGACCAGTCATCCTACCTGAGTTCTTGCATAGCAGCCGTTGAATCCAGGGTGTCCTCCAGCTCCGTCTTCAACGCCTCCAGCTCCTCGCCCAGATCGCGGCGATGTTTCTCAGCCTTCATGCGGGCCTGCTTCTCCAGCTCCAAGTCCTCCTGGATTTCAGAAAGCTGCGCCTCCAGCTCTCTAATCTTCTTCTGAGCCATGTTCTTCTGTGCAGCCTCCTCCTCGATCCTAAAGAAAGGACATTTATAAGTGAACTGAGCCAGAATCCACAAGTGGCGACCAGAAGCCATAACAGACCTGGCCAGGGCAGCCTGGAGCTCCTCTTCCTTCTTGGCGAGCTGAGCCCGCAGCTCAGCGATCTGAGCCTGGAGCTCAGCGATTTGGTCGTGCGTCTCGGTGAAGTCGCCCTCCAGCTTGCGTCTGTTCTTCTCCAGCTCCTGACGCATCTTCTCCTCCCTGCGCAGGCGATCTGAAACCAGATGAACATTAACCAAACAGAGAAATGACGGTCGAACGCTGAAGGTTATGAGGGTTAAATCGCAGCATTAAAGACGCCGTCTTCATGTTTAATTCCTCCTACCCTCCAGGTCTGTGATCATGGCCTCATGTTTCGTCTTGAGTTTCTGTAAACTCTTGGATTTTTCCTCCTCCTCTGCCAAGTTGGTGGTGAATTCAGAGATCCTCTCCTCCATCAGCTTTTTCTCCTGGATAAGGATAAAACAATACATAGTAATAACTGGTTTAAAGTTAATGCTGCACATTGACTAGCAATAAGAAAACACTGATAAATTTAGTTACAAGCATACAATAAAGGTTTATTATTTTAACTCATTTGTAAAGGGATGGAAGGCTGATTATTTAGCATTAGTTTAGGGCAGGCGGCCATGTTGGATTGATTAATTAAACTGTTTCCTGGTTAACTGCCTCCTGTGTGATTCTTGGTCTTTATGATGCAGTTTGCTCCATCAATAAATAAATAAAGTTGTATTCATATAGGTGGACTACAGCTACTCATTAGGTGGCTACCTAATCAGTGGTGGTTTTATTTAGAGGTAACAGAGTAAAAGGGCTTTGATAAAATGTGTATCCCTTCCCAGTGATGTGTTTGGTTGAGTGTCCACCCATCCTAACCTTGAGCAGCTTGTTGTTCTGGTCATCTAAAACCATGACGTCTTCCTCGATCTTCTTCATTTTGGCTTCCAGGGTGACCTTCTCCAACTGCAGCTTCTGCCTGGCAGCCTCCTCCTCGTCCAGCTGCTGCTCCAGGTCCTGCGTGCGCGTTAATGACAGGATGTTTGGTGAGACTAATCGAACCGGACCGTCAGTGTTTGATCAGTTATCAGAACTTGCAGTTTTTTTTTTTTTCTTACAGAGATATTTTGCTGCATCTTTTTCTTCTCAGCTGATAAGTGAGAAGCGCGCTCTTCCTCCTCCTCTACACGCGCCTCCAGGTCATGGAGGATCTCCTCCAGCTCCTGCTTTTTGGCCGCCAGACGGGCCCTCATCTCCTCGGCCTCGGCACAGAGCTCAGTCTCTGCCTGGAGCTGCTCCTGCAGCGCCATCTTCTCTGCATTCAGCTAGAGGGGCAGTGAAAACACGGTTACTCTTTAACCAGGAGTAAACGGTTGGACTGGGGCATAAAGCAGCATTCTTGCTTCTAAACTCTACCTGTTGTTGTTTTTCCTCCATCTCCTGGAGCTGCTGCTCAGCAAGGATCTGCTTCTCCTTCACCTTATGAAGCTCCTCATCCTTGGCCTGCATCTCCTCCTCCTGCCTGCTGACTTGAAGCAGAGGCTTCACCTAAAAAAAGGAAAAAAAAAGAAGGTTTAGATAAAGGTAGAGCAGGGAAACCCCAACAGCTTAGCTGACATGGATTAGAGGAGGGTTACCTTAGTGAAAAGTCTCCACCACTGCCAGTTCCTCAGTTTCAGATAAGCAGCACAGTTCCTCTGAATCACCTTCATGGCCGTCAGCTGCTGCTGTCTCTTTGCGAAAGCCCTGTGAAGAATCAGCCAGAAGCTCAGAACCCGCCATCTATACAACCGCTACACATAATTTATGTTACAAACATCTGAGGAGTTTTTCATTCATTCGTTTCCATAATGATCAGCAGTTCTTGGCTTTTAGAGACAGTAATCCATGCTTTTATCACTACCCGGCTGGATTACTGTAACTCAATTTATTTGGGGGTTCGTGCCTCTAACATTGCTCAACTCTAAAGAGTGCAAAAAGCTGCAGCACGTCTTTTATCTGGCACTCCTAAACATGAGTACATTACACTGGCTCCCTGTACATTTTAGGATTCATTTTAATGTTCTTTCATTTGTTTTTAAGTCTCTCCATGGTCTTGCTCCATCTTATCTTTCTGAGTTGCTGCACCTTCATGCACCCTCTGGTTCACTGGTCAACTGATTGGCTGCTTCTTGAGGTGCCAAAATCTAAACAGAGCCTTGGGGGCGATCATGCTTTCTCTGTGGCAGATCCAAAAATGTGGAACGACCTTCCATCACAAATTAAATTGTCTACTTCTTTGTCCGATTTTAAATCGCTCTTAAAAACTCATCTTTGCCTTGCCTTTCTAAACTGTGTGAGATGTTGATTTTAGTCTGTGATACATTATTTTAAATTACTTATTTTATTATAGATTTTATAGTTCTGATTTAAATTTCTTCTTTTATGCTTGTATGTTTTTTGACTCTAATAGTGTTATGGTGTTTCACTGTACAGCACTTTGGTCCTTTGAGAAAATTTAAAGTGCTTTATAAATAAAGTTGAATTGAATTTTTATGATGCATTTGAACCTTTTTCATCCCAGAAAACCTAAACAGGATGCACTGATGCAAGAGACCTTTAATTTAGTGTCAATCTTTGGATAAACATCCCATAGTGTGATATTAGCATTAATCATATTGCTCATCCTATTGTGTGGAATGATAGAAAAGATGAAGATATATTTCCCAAACGGAGAACAATACTTCAACAGGTGTGAGATCAGCTGAGCCATTTCCTATCTCTTCAAGAGTTAAATAAATTTGAACAAAAGCAGATAGAAGCAAAGTGTTTCTATGAGCTTTTTAATATTGGAGAATTTAGAGGCAGGCAGAATTTACATATTAATTTCTTGGCTAATATCTGACCATTTTTGAAGAGCTATTTTGGATCGTGACATCCACAGAATTAATTTAAGTGGACGTGGCATCATGCCACAGGTCTGTTTTGTTGTTATCAGAGTCATTAAAGGATCAAGCAAAAGTGGCGTTTCATTTATTTTTTTAGGTGTTTTCTTATATCAGCCTGCAGAAAGAACTGTTTCAATGCAGGATTAAAAGTGTAAAGCTGCAGTGTTGCTCAGAAACAACCGCCTAGCAAGTGTCTGTTAAGGTCGGGGATCTTCTCTTACTTGCGAGCCACGTAGCCTCTGCACCAGGCCTGGAAGCTGATGATGATGTCTGTGATCTTCATGTCCCTCTCCTCTTCCAGGTGAGCCAGGACTCCTGCCCTGAAGAACACTTTGCTTTGACCGATGCGGAACAGGTTGGGATCCAGCTCCAGAGACTGGATCTGATTTTAAACAGAACAAAACAGCCACTCAGGCACATCCCAGAGGAAACTGAGACTTTAGAGGTTAATAGGTCTGCAGCGCTCCTACCATGAGGACACAGGCCTGCTTCCCATCCATGAAACCCTTAGGGATGGCATTAGGTGTTAGGATTTCATATCTGAAAGATAAAGTTTAGAAATGATCATCCTCTGTCCTCTCAGCTTCTAATAGCTATAAACAAAGTGAATGGTCATGGCGTACCGCTGTCTGAACTCCTGGAAAACGATGCGGTTGGGGAAACCTTGTCTGCAGATACGGATTCCCTCCAGGACACCGTTACACCTCAGCTGGTCCAGAACCAGGTGGGGATCCAGCTTTCCAGCCTAGAAACGCAGAAAACATGCAGCTCAAGGATAATAATCAACCGATATCTGCCAGGGCATAATTTCAATCAAACACAATTGATTTTCATGAAAAATCTGAAAACCTTAAACTGATAGACTAAACGCTGCTGTAGGGAACCAGTGGTTTCAAACCATCTCAGCTGCTTAGTTATTTCCTTCTAGTTGTTTATGTGAGATGTCTGGGGTTTTTTCTTTTTTAAAGAAACCATTCAGACTGAGAAATAAATCAGTTGTATTAATCCAATTCACTAAATATTAATAATATAATATTAATATTCAAAAAAAAAAAAAAAAAAGAGTCACATTTGGTGCTCAGATGAACAATAATAACTGATAAACTGGTTAACTAATTCTACCTGCTGAAAACATTTAGCCATATTTCATTGATTCCAATGAAAAAAAAAATTCACATCGTGTTGTTAGGAGATATTTGAATTCAGGTTAACCTCTAGAAAGAATGTTCCAGATGAATCAGGTTTTAAACAGTAATTTCCATCCTTTTACTATCGTTTATCATAACTAAAGAGAAAATGCAGTTAATCTGAATTATTATTGTTTTCAACCACCAAGTTCTATAGCATTTAATCCCAAACACTGCCATCAAGTTAATATCTTCATAGTCCATGATCCGTTTTAATTACGGTGTCCCTTTAAGTTCAGTTTAAGAAGCAGCGCAGTTTGCCGCCCATGGTGTCAGTTTTTCACTGCTCTAAAGATTCATTTAAAGACAGAAACAGACCATTTTCTGCCGTTATTGTGTCAGCTTGAAGGCTTCAGTAGTAGATGCTATCAAATTATATTACTGAGTTTTATGCATTTCCATTCCCTTTTTATATCAGGATTAAGTTGATCCCGATATAAAGTAAATAAAAAGTAGATGAATGTAAAGTAGATGAATTTTAATCTAGAATATGAGGGTGTTTAAAATCTGGACTGGATTATCCACACTGCACCTAACTAAATTAACCCTAAAATAAGTAAAGATGTCTTATAATTACTGTATTTGAGCAGTGAATAGTGAAGCCAATTGAATCACTATTACTGCCTTTAAAGTAAAATACTTTTTTCTCTTTTTTAAATATCAATCAACTTATCTTATTGGCAAATTGTCTTAGAAAAATTGACTAGCTTGTATTTCATTTTTTGCAGTGAAGCCATAAGGTTGGTTTTGGTCATAACAGTCTGTTTACCTTTATTCAGATTGAAGGAATAAAAACATGTAAATTAACAAAGAAAGCAACATTTTTTTTTTTTATATTTTTTATCTGGAAGCTCAAAAGGATCCTGTCTGTATTATTGTGGATATCTTGTATTTCTTAGGTCAACATAAAGACTCATAAAATCGAGTTAATTGGTGACCTATTTCTTCACTTAGCGACACTCTTTTTATGGGTTTCATTTTAGAGGAAACATTTCTTAAGTTTAGTATTGGGGATAGGCAGAGAAAGGCTGGCTGGAAGATGGACGATAAACAAAAGAGAAACTAAAAGATGAACAAGCTCTTTTCATTAGGAAGAACAATGGAACAACATGTGGCAAATTGACACCATTTTCCAAACAGATCTAGCTTTATAAATCTATGATGCCTGTTTTAAAATAGGGCTGCAACTAATGATTACTTTGCAAATTGTTTGATCTGTCAATTATTTTATGATAAATCGATTAAGAATTGGATAGCAACCAGTTCCTAATTGCGAAATTAAACCAGGTGAAAGCATATTGACAGATTTTTATCTTAAATGGAAAATGTATCCATACTTTATTACAATTTTGGTATAATTGCTGCAATAAGTTGGTTTCTCTGTCAGCTTAAGACACGTCTTAGAGTCTAGACTTTAGACTTAATTAGTTAATGATTATTTAAATAACCGATTATTCTGATTTATTGTTTCAGCCCTAATATAAAGTCTAAACGCATGCTGTCTACCTGAGAGAAAACGAGGCAGAATTTGGAAAAGAAAGTTTAAAATGCCTTTACATGCTTTGAGACGATCTAGGAGAAGAAATAATAATACCTTCTTCTCGTGGTTGGGGATGATGCAGCGAACAAAGTTGGGGTTGGTGTTCCTCAGTGTGGCCATGAGTTTGGACAGCTGCTCCTTGTAGAGCTGCCCCACGGTGCGGAACATGCCTTTACGCGTCTTAAAGGCACCGGGCATCTCAGACATGCCGGACACTTTGTCCAGGCCCACGATGCGGTCCACTGAAAGAGAACACAGAGGAGAAACCCCCCAAAAGATGCTTTATATATGACCTTTCCGCTGCGGTGAATATCTATCCAGGCAAACTCAAAGCAAATGCACATCACAGGGAATAATGAAGAGGACCATTGTCTCAAAAAGGAAACACACCAGACCACAGGAGGTGGTTTACAGCACCAGAACCACTGTAACACCACACAAACGGCGAGTAAATGTGGAGGGAAAAATGTGTAAAGAAAAAAATCAAACGACAACAGGCCAGTCAAAGAAGTGAAGCCAGAAGATCAACACACCATGGCAGAAAAAAATAAAAGAATATAAATTCAATGCAGTGACTTGGCGAGATCCGTCAACTGTAAACAATGACAGGTTGTTGTTTTTTGGAGTGAAAACTATGTGCAATGGCTGTTTTCAATGTGTATGTGTCAGGTGACAAAACCAAACCCATGCAGTATATACCCATTGCTGCAATGATGCAGTACCCAGGACCAACACCAGGGGCCCCCACACAACACTATCACACAGAGGGAGAAAAGGAGAGTCCAATGAAGGAGCAACAAATACTAAGATAACCTGTAGATTATTGCATACAGAGTTGCTTTTTAAAAGCCAAACGGCTCAACGTTTTCAGTCTGGGAAAAAAACAATCGCTGGGAGAGTTTTGCTGCTTGATAATCACTGAGACACGGAACAAACAGGAGGAGAAAAGAAAGAAAGAAAGAGTTTCACCTGAATCAGAGTGCAGAATAGGGAAACGCTGATAAAAATAAGCTCTCTGACAATGCTGTACCTCTGAGGGCCGACAGAAGAAAACGACAGACAAAAACGGGGCCAAACAAAGGAAAGAAATGGACGACCAACCAGTGGGTGGGGGGGTTGAAAAGGAAAACACAAAGGCCCACACGGCAGACAGTAGAGAAGAGTAAGCACCACGAAGAGAAGATGTCAGAACCGTCCCTGCTGAAGCATCGTTATCATCCGCCTGAACTCACCGTCCCTCCAGAGCTCAGACACAAACTTGTCGGTGGACTGGTTGAGGAGCGTGGTTACGTTATCGTTCAGAGGGTCCATGTTCTTCATCAGCCACTCGTCTGCTTTGTAGTCCACCTGGAAACAAAGAGTGAGGCGCCATTTTTTTCAAAAAGTCAATCAGATAATAAAAACCTTTTAACTCGTGAACTTTTGTTGCGTTACTTGTTTTATGGGTTTTCATAGTCAAGATTAAGTGACACAAAATAGTGAAATGCAAAAAAAAAAAAACCTGTAAACTAACTTTGGTAATGTGTGGAGTTTGAGTAGACCAAGATTAGAAAGGCGAACTGTAGTAAAGTCACTCTCTGCCATTGAACACAGGAGCAGCAGAAGCATCAAACGCATTTGGATGTGGATCATAATGTGGACAAGCATCAAAAATAAAGCTTTTTTGCTGCTTCCAGTGCATGCAGTCTGAACGTAGCATTATTCATTAAAATAGTGACTCTTTCGATTTCATCCGCCATTATTACAGGCAAAGGAAGAATAGGATAGCTCGGCTCAACAAAGCTACATAGATGCTTCAGCTGCGCGTCTGAACTAAACTTGTACAAGCATCAACAATGAAGCAGCACGCGTGTTGTTGCTGCTTCTGCAGCGTGCAGTCTGAACGTAGCATTACGCAGCATTTCCTCACCAGAGCAACTTCTCTTCATTGCCAAACTTGTTTGGGTTTTAAAGATGCCGCGTTTTATAAAAACTTGATATCACCCATAATATTTACATTTTTAACAATTATATATTAATTGTATGCTTTTGCAAGACCCTGTAACTGAGTTAAGCAGCTGGCTTCACAGAAATGTTTGAGGACCAAGGTTTACCTTTCCAGCGTAATGGATGATACAGAAATCTGCTTCATCCTTCAGTTTCTTTGGCTTGTGGAACTTGGGATGCGTTCCCTGCTCCTGGACCACCTTCTCCACAAAGCTCTTATCCGTGGCCTTTGGAAACCAGCACTCCTCATCCAGCAGAGCCAGGATACCAGGGGGGCTGGCCTGGAGACAGAGTAGCATGTTAAACATTATCTCGGGGGACGGGAATCGACGTCTTCAGAAGAGCCGAGACACTGACGGGTTTTTCGATGAGGTCGATGCAAGGCTGCAGGTCGAGGCCAAAGTCGATGAAGCTCCACTCGATGCCCTCCCTCTGGTACTCCTCCTGCTCCAGGATGAACATGGTGTGGTTGAAGAGCTGCTGCAGCTTCTCGTTGGTGTAGTTGATGCAGAGCTGCTCGAAGGAGTTCAGCTAGAAGGAGAAAGAAGAGGAAACCGCTCAGAATCCATCATCATTAAAGTCGTAGTGAAATCTCAGAGGGTTTTCATTTGGATTCACCTCAAAAATCTCAAAGCCGGCAATGTCCAGGATGCCGATGAAGGAGGCTCCCTGTCTCTTGGTCTTGTCCAGAGCTTTGTTGATTCTCATCACCAGCCAGCGGAACATCCTTTCATAGGTCGCCTTGGCCAGGGCCTCCACTGCAAACTCTGCTTGTTCCTGAGTCTGAGCCTTCTGAACGTAGTCTCTGCCCACTTTGATCCGTGGTGACAGGATGGCTCTGGTAAAGTCCGTCACATTCATGCCCATAAGATGGGACACTTTCTGGGCAGCTGGTGCAGAGAAAGGAGGAGGGGTGTTAAAACCTGATCAAAATGGGCTGACCTCAATGAACAAAGCCTGCGAGGTACGCATGTTCACCTGTGTTGTCAGGCATTGAGGCTTGATCTGTGTGGCGCTCCTTCTTGAAAGTCATGTTTCCAAGCTGCAGGACTGAGGCCACCACCTTCAGCATGCCTATGCAGGAAATCAGCAAAAACACCACAGGTTGACACATCATTCGTATTCAGTTTGTTTTAAAAGTCAGAAATATTTATAAACACAAGTCTTCACTATGAATTTATGGCAGACATGTCTGGCTTTTAGATAGAAGATGCAAAAAAAGGTGAAGCAGAGATGGACGTAAAGGGAGAAGCATGTTAGAGGGACAAATACAACAGATGGACAAAGGGCCAGACTGTTAGATGTGAGGTGAGGAAGCCTAAAGCTTTCAAGACAAATACAAGGAGTCTTTTCTCCTTACCAATCTGCTCGTCCTCTGGAATACCCATGATCTTAAAGGCCTCCAATGTTTCTGTGAACAAATCCTTGTCCTGCTGGCCAGGGATGGTGACGTTTCCATTGGAAAGGAATCGATAGTTGTTGTAATTTTCAAGGAGAAGGTCCTCTGCAACAGATGAGGCATTTCATTTACCAAACAACTCTCTACGAAAGTTACGACTGATAAAACTGACAAATATTCAACCGATTACTTACTTCGTAACTTGTCTCCTGCACCTGTGAGCAAGTAATAGAAAATGTGAAATGTCCTCTCATCTTTGGCCTGGCGAATGGCACGGGATTTTTCCAGCAAGTCTTTAAGCCAGTTTGTCAAGGAAAAGTTTTTACAACAACAAAAACAAACTTATTTCACCTAAGACCTTTAAATTGATGCTTATTATTATTATTATCATCATTATTCAGGATACAGGTTTCAATATTGGCACCAACGATGTAACCATTGACATCAAAGTTGATTCTAATGAATTTTCCCTGCAAGGAAAGAAAAATAAAAGCGTTTAAAAAATAAATTTGACAAATCAGAGTCTATTTGAATGTGAACTAAAAACCAGGTAATAATTCATACAAATCTGGAAGAGTTGTCATTTTTGACCGTCTTGGCATTTCCAAAGGCTTCAAGGATGGGGTTAGCCTGCAGCAGCTGCTTCTCCAGCTCGCCCTGGTGGAAAGGAACACATTTGCTGACGATGTAGGGGGGAAAAAAAGGACCGAAAATGAAAATATCTCCAAGCCAGTAACTTGATTTAAGAGTCTAACACTAAAATAGATTATTTACTACCTTTCCATCCCTTATAGATCAGTTTAGGTAAATCAAAAGAAAAGGTTTCCAATCTTAGATTTAAAATAAAGTTGCATAATATTGCTATTTGCAGAATAACTATAGTAAACAACAAAACCAAACAAAAAGAAACGAGATAAAAACAGACACGGCTGCAGCAGAAATGCACATTTTGCCCCCAAGCATAAAAACCCAACAGATGACATAAGAGCCCAAAACAGAAGCCAAACCCAGAGACCCGTCAACAACCCAGCACCTTACAGATGAGAAGAGTCCAGGGAGACTTTTCAGCCCTTCCTCCTTCAATACAAAGCTTATAAGGGACCCTGTTAACCCAAACAGTGAGCAATATATGGGACAGAACACATATGTACCCCACCGACCTGAAAAGGTGTTGATGCATCTGCACAGTGCCTTGCAAAAGCTTGAATTGGTATCCCATTATGTCAGGTTACAAACCCCACTCTAATGTGTTTTACTGGGATTTCCTGAAATAAAAACATTGCCTATCTGAGAAGTGGAAGGAAAATAAGCTCTTTAAGTTTAATCTAAATAAAAAAAAAAAAAAAAAAAAAAAGCTAAATGTGTATTAAATAAGGATAGACAGTTATTTAGTTAACTAAAAGCAATTTCATGATGAATAATTTCTCTCCTGTCCTTTAGGACGAGGTCATTTTATTGGAGCTACGCTTAAAGTGGGTTTGCTGTCACACGAATGGATATGGGCGGATGATATTGCATGTGGATAGCAGACCTTTGAACTGCATGGACATTGCATCATTACTGTTTCTAGAAATAAATGGGGAAGTCCCGATCAGATCTGATCAGCAAACGTCAACATGTCAGAGATTTTCATGCTATTAGAAACACTCTGCTTCTTAAAAGTTTCTGTAACACCTTCATTCATTCTACATCGTCAGTGGTTTTCATAACTCTTATTGCTGACTTTTGTTTTGCGTTTTGGTGATATTACTTAATCAAAACTGCTACAAACATGCTTAAGGGCTGGTTATCCTCCCGCAGCAGTGTGTCGCAGTGAGCTTGTCGTAGATATTTTCGATTTATGTCCAATATTGAAGCGAGGTCTGCGCTGTGTTATTCCTTGCCACAACACAAGAGGGACAATCACCAACTAGCTGTGGGTCTAGATACGAGGCAGTGATGAAGTGGGGGCAAGTTTGTGTGACAACAGAGGCCCATCTGCATTAACTGCAACACACACGCAGACATTCTGTAGCACAAATAATTAACAAAAGCCAGTGTGATTCAGGCCGATATCGATGTCGAGTCAATATTGGCATCGGCCAATTCTCAAAACTGGAATACAAATCTTACAACTGACACTGTTGTATCAGTGCACTGCTAGAAATACATCAATTATCACCAATATAACACGGCTTTATTATAAAGCTATTGGTTTACACCGTCTAAAAATAATGTGATTATATTTTTTCTACATATAACCCTCCCTGTAAGGAGTCTTTAACCTCCATCATGTCCAGCATTTAGATCCATCCATCCTCTTTAACCAAGCCAGCTTCTCTGGCCATTCTACAGAAAAACCTCCCCACAGTATGATGCTGCCACTACCATGGCAAGCTTCATTCAAGGTGCTTTGCAGATTTAGGTGTGTATTCATTAACTCTTTCAGACATTTTGTATACGATTAGTAAATCTGTATTTTTTTTCCTTTCACTTCACAAACAGATTAAACATTATTGGTCTAACATAACAGAAATAAAATAATGGATATAAATATATTTGCAAGACACTGTGAGATATCAGTATAAATAAAACCTTCAAGCAAAAACAAAAAGCAAACATGGCTTGTGCAAAATAATAATTCAGAAAAATTTAACCAGACAAAAAACCCTTTTAAATATTTGATTGGCATCTCTCCCACAATTGAGACCCCGCCCCCGTATTTCTATTGTCTGGTTAAATTCTTCACTTGGATGCATACAGCTGGCATTGAGCTGCAAACAAACTTCCTGCTGACTTCCCGAGGCCAGACTTATCACCTCTGCCCTTCGTACAAGGAGACTCCCAAACAGCGCACGCTTCAGCGAGGGTGTGGGAAGAGGAGTGGAGGGGGGGAGGGGCGGTACAGGAAAGAAGCAGGTGGAAGAGGACGAGTATGAAGAGGGAAAATTAACTCACATGTGACAGGTATGAACTGCTCTGTTGATGAGGGAAAAAAAGGAAAAACAACCTCAAAAAAAGGGATGACAGATGTGACTTTTTTTAAGCCCCTCTGAGCTGCGGCTCATGTTGCTGACAAGCTAGATACCAGAAGAACAGGTTTTCCTGCCTTATCAGACATAAAGCAGGGCTGCCCAACTCTCCGGTTCAATAAAACGCAGCAAAACAAAAAGATAAAGTTAGTCCTGGTCTTTTTAAAAAGGCCGCCGCCCACAGAGTGTGGTTACTTCCCGTAGTAGGAGGCAATACAACTTTTTTCTTTTCTTTTTTCAACAGGAGTAAAAACTTGATTCACTGTAATTAATAATTTATCGAGATCAAACAGATAAACATCCACCATCACAGTAAAATAAGTCATATCAGGAAAGTTAAGGCTAGACTGACCTGATCCTTCTTGGTCTTGTGGGAGGAGGCAACATGGGCCAGATACTGAATGACCTTCTTGGTGTTCTCGGTCTTACCAGCACCAGACTCGCCTCTTTAGATGACATGCAAACAAACAATGCAATCAGATCAAAATAAAAGCAAATGAATGGGAGCAATTTGTCCAAAGAGAAACAGACCAAATCTGGGGTACTTACGTGCAGAGAATAGACTGATCTTCCCGATCTGTAATAAAAAAAAAAAGAAAAGTAGAGATGGATATCAGTTCAGCAGTGCAACTTTGTAGCCTACTTCTACATCAGCAAGCCGTCACCGCAGTGGGTAGAGTTTACGCCTATGAAACAGGAAATGCACAAACCACAGGCAGGAAATAAATATCCGGTTTCCTGTGAAGGAAGCTTTCTGCCTTATTAATCTATCACCTCCTGAAATGTGGTCTGGAACAAAATGTGTGGACAGACGGAGAAACAAAACTAAATGTACACATTGCAGAGGATTAGCTAAAAGGTGCGCACAGTATGTCAGGGAGTTCCAAGGAAAAAGGAAAGCCATCAGAAGCCATACAGGAGGTGGATTTAAGGAAACACCCGTACAATAGCTGTACAGGAAATCCCAGCCTCGGCCTCACTGTCGATCCACACAGTTGCTAAACACTGAGAGGCTGTTTGTTGTGGTTAAAGGTAACAGCCGGAAAACATGGCAAACAGGAAATATGCAGCAGCTAATTGAAGCAGGATATCTGCTTGAAGTATTAAACACTGCTGGAAGAGGAAGAAAACTATCAGCTTCATACGGAAGAGGAAAGAATTACACATCTTCCACCAGAAAAATGACACTTTCCAACATTTTTAACTATTTTGCTTGGTAGATGGGAAAATAACAAGCTAAATGGGTCATTGACTTACCCTGCATCATGCTTCTGTAAGCCGTATCAGTTATGGCATAGATATGAGGCGGCATTTCATGCCGTTTCTTGCCCTTGTACATTTCGACAATCTCCTCCGAGTAGATGGGCAGGTTTTTGTAGGGGTTGATCACGACGCAGAAGAGACCAGAGTATGTCTGCAGGACGGATACAAAGAGCAAGTAAGGAAAATAAATGCATTGTATGCATCTGTTAAAGAAAACAATGAAACAATATAGCAGGAAGAAAACTAAAGAATAATAAAAAAACAAAAAAAACTAGGTCTCCATGACATTAGAAAATCGTGCCATATAATCAGTAAATCCTGTAATGATGGCATCAGTAGCCCTCTCAGTCACAGGTGAGCATCTCTTAAGTCTCCACCCAGGAGGTGAAATTACACACTAGTTTGATAAATGCAACTTTGTAACACTGGGCATACCTCAACCATCAATCACTGCACTACAAATCAGTAGCATTAATAGTGGTGATATAAATCCTACATGTATGGATATAGTATCACTTTCATTTCATTAGGATTTTCTTGTATAAATATACTGTAAAACCAAACTATTTTGCATATGTATACAAACTTACTGCAGCTATAACTAGCTTGACTTAATGGCCTAGCCCTCTCACCTCGGGAAGGTTTCTACTATATTATAATCTTAAAAAGGAAGAAAAAGTTGTAGAACATTCATATCTGCATGAATGAATCTCGGGTTGTTACCAAAAAGCTACCAAGTTCGCTCCAATAGGACCTGAACACGCACTATATGGAGGCTTATTGCTTCGTACCGTCATGGTTTCATATACTCTGTTCTAGACAGAGTATTTCAGCATAACAAGCTGTTACACTGAAAAAAAAAAGTCCACGTTACGCTAGAATTCTGGCCATTATGCTAATTTTTCATGAGTATAACAGCCTTTTGACATCTGGGCTTCCCGTAAGCTCATTTCAGCTGGTTAAGCAGAAACTTTTAGAATTACAACCTGACTTTAAATGAGAGCACCAGGTGCAGAAACTGTGTTTTTAAACCTCCTTATCTGTAGACCTCAAGGGAATGGCCGTGAAAATGTGAACAAAGGCTCTGTTAAGAGCGTTATTGGCACGTCTCCCCAAAACAGGCAAACACATTGTTGCTAATTTAGTGACTTTGTCACAACATTTATCAAATTCTCAAACCCCTTTAGCAATTAGTGAAGATTTTAAGGACTAATTCCTGTCTTAATGAAAACGTCAAAGCAGTTGAGTTGCATCTTTAGTGAGTCGTGAGTGAACCCCTCCTGGTTCAGATGCAGAAGCTGCAGCCCAATAGAGCGTCTGGTTCCCCAATAAAAATGAGTCACATGGGCAAAGCTTCAACTGAACAAAAACTAAAAAGTAAGATGTAAATACAATAGTTCCTGTAACTTTTTTTGTTTAAACATGTTGCAGTAAAGTAGATCCTCCCTGCATTTAATTCATAGGCTGCCTCATCCACTGTTAACTGTTTTTAATAGAATTTGATTGATTTATGTAGTTTTAGTTCAGGTGGAAAAAAAAAACTACAAATTATTATTTTTTTAATTAATCCATTTGGAGAATTTTTAATAACCTCCTGTCTTGCTAATGTTAATTTACCCCCCACCTCCCGGGTAGAACAAACTCCCGCCTTGCCCGTTTTGTGAGCTGCAACAGTTGAAGCTGCATAATCTTTCTGTACTTGCAGCGTTGCTTACTTTCACATACTTCATTACCTCACAGCTGAAACTTTCTCATGGACTGATTTGTAATACTTTGTTATGAGAGCTGAACTCCACCCAGTTACAAGTTGAAACTGATGACTGATGTCTTGCAAAAAAAAAAAAAAAAAGCTGCATGAGATTTTTCACATTTATAAATTTGGACATTTCCTCAAAGGAACTATTTGAATCCTTTACTGTGTAATTAACACTTTTCATTTTCATGCATCTCAACCTTATCTGCAGCTCTTCAGCATGCATGTTTTCCCCTTGAGAGTCTCCATTTTAAGATTGGAGAGCCTGGAGCTCCTAAACCATCCATAGAATGGATCTCTAGAGGAAGAGGGAGGAAAAAAAAAAAACAGTCTTTGTTGATGTGACCGGGTCACAACTCTGAGTCAAAGGGACCAAATCACTCCCAGGCCAGAAAACGAGGAGTAAATAACATTAATTATAGGGAAAGTAATGACAGTTACAGAATGGTTTACATTCCATGCCCCTTTTTGAAAATACTGGACCGGTGCCGTTCTTCCTTGCTCATTAAAAAAAAAAAATCTTTTGCACTCTGGAGCACATTGTTCCCTGCAGCTTCCTGTTTACATGACAAAATCCTGGATGGAGGAAAAGCAGCAGGCATTATGGTTCTAGAGATGAAACAATTAAATACCTCAGCTTGAATACAATTTAACTTAAACTACGGAACCGAATAAGAGGATCCAAGAAAAGCATCAAGGTGGAGAATATCTCCATTAGAACAGGACCTAAATAAATTTACATTACTTTAGCTTCATACTCACATAAATGAGACCAGAGTAATATCTCTCCTTCAGGTTGTGCAGCACGGAGGCTTCGTTCAGGCAGGTGAGCTCGGCCATGTCCTCCACCTTGCTGAACTTGGGTGGGTTCATCTTCTGGATGTCGTCTTTGTTCACCTTGATCTTTTTCCCAGAATCTGCCAGCTCCACCACGCACTCGTCGCCGTGCTCCTCCTTGACGGAGCCGGCCTCGAAGCCCAGGCGCTCTGAAGGCACCCATACCAGCTTCTTGGTGGCCCAGTCAGCCTGCGCCAGCGGGTTGTTCACCATGTTCCGGTCAACATATAGAAACTTGTCCACGTCCGACATGGTGGCTGGTTTGGAGAGAGAAGAAACGGTATTAACAGTTTATCCTTTATGGTTACAACACAAACGTCATCAGCATTATCAAATGCTCAGCTTCTGTCCGATGTTCAGTCAAAGACGCGCTTACTAAGACATGAAACTGAACAACATGTGCAGGAAAACATTGTTTTAAAAAGAGCCAATGTTGGGCTGCATCTCATGCAGAGCTGAACTAAACTGCACATTTCTTACATCGACAAATATCTAACTTTTATCCACATTAAACCACTGGTGGAAGGAGACTGCATTGGGCTGCTGTAGATCCTCTAGATATTCATGGACAACCTTTGGTTTCTAGAGCAGCTAAAACACAATTCAGAGAAATTTTTTAACATTTAAAAGCAGTAAAAAGGAGGCTGACCCACAGAAAGGGAGATGAAATGAAAATATCCAGTGCATACTTTCTGCAGAGAACGGAAGGTCACTGCTTGGTAAATAAGTGTTTATTATCTCGTTGGCTGCTTCCTTATTGAGAGGGCATCACAGTTCCAAAATATACGCTCTTTTAGCGCTTTACATTGCACTCTACAACATTTCTATAAGCTGGCTGTGCTGTTTGTGGCATCACCACAAGCTTTAGCAGCATTGTTGCAGTGTTAAATGTCTATCGGCCATAACCTTTCGGTGCATCGCTAACTTGCACCTTTAGGCAGATATAAAAGGAAAAATATATATATTTTTTAAATATAATTGTTTTTTTTAATACTTTAAAACTTGAATTGCAGATATTTGAGCACCAATCATTAACTCTCTTATCTCTAAGAGTTTCAATTACTTCAGTGAAACAGAAAGAAAACATTTTTTTGGTACTAAAAATAGATCCTTATCTTGACTTAAAAACTTGATTGACCTCAAGGGAACAGCAGTCATTTAACAGGAAGAAAGAAATGAGAAACCAAAAGCAGCATCAACCACGGGTGAAAATCCCAACAGGCTGGCAGATTTTAAAAGGTTTTAAGAAATGTTTGGGTCAAAAATAAATCACAGAAAATACTAGACTCATTATGAACCCAGGCTGACTATCACAGGATTGAATAAAACAGTTTATTATATATCAGATAGGTGCAGAGATGTGTCAGCCATGCATCAACTTCATAAATGTGGAATTAACCCCCCCTCCCAAAAAAAATAACAAAATCAGTGAGTATTTGCATGTATTGTGCAAATATGCTTTTGTGCAACATTGTACAGTTAGTAGACAGCGTTAGCATAAATGCTCATCAACATCTTGTTGACAGAGAACTGAAATTGACTCTGCACAGAAAGTGATTGAACAGGTAGAACCGGTATCGGCCAAAAGAGAGAGAGAGTGCTGCATCAAAGCCATCAAACAGCGCCTGGAATGAATCCAAAGCTCTGACTGACAGCGCCGCCTCAGGCTTCACCGTTCTAATTATCATTGTAAACTGCAGGAGCATGACACCGTTTTCCCAGCAATACGGCAGCTGTTAAGTCCTGCTGATTTTCCTCATCTGATAGGACAGGGAGCAGCCCTGTAGTCAGCGGTTTCTGGAAGCTAACAGGAATCATTTCTTACGACAGATGCAGCACAGCGGAGGTCAGGCCAAGTCTGCGAGTTTATCTTCATATCCAAGCAGGAAAGAAAGTTTGATACCGTCTGACTATGGCTGCTATTTCCTTAGAAATATTTTCTCTTTCTTTTGGGAAAAGGATGATCTGTAGTCATACTCAAAAAAAAAAAACAGCATAAAAACCACCATCCAGGGTTTAAATGAAATACCAGACCGAAAACAAAAGAGGGGTCAGGCATAAAACCCCCCAGAATAGTATGTGAACTACTCTTAAACCTCTGAGGTGTTTTTATACAAATGCAAAGTGATCTAAGCCAACATTTTGCTCAAGATGTATTAAAAATCAGAGCTTCACATTAACTGGCTCTAACTGCTGATGGGCAAACTAACATCTAAATTATGACAGCTTTTACTAACGACAACTTCCGTCTGGAAGAGTGCTGCAATATAACTGTATTTATAATAACCTAATTGCAGAGGTGACAATGACTTTCTCACTCCAGCCCTTTGAGTGGCAGAAATAACTGAGGTAGGTTTGCTGATACAAAGGGAAGAGTGGATGCATTGATCTATGCATCCAAGCATTTACAGTGGCTCAGGTTATCCTGAGCTATCTCTATAGTTATGCTGCTATTGGCTTAGACCTCTGGAGGACATAGGGACCCCTATTTTATCATTCCATCTCTATTGTCCCACTCTGAGGAATCTATTAGTTCAATCTCTAACGTTCTGCTCTCTCTGCTTTTTCTCATGGCAGCTTCATCTGGTCTGTTCCTGTTTGGCTGTGACTCCATCCTGGAAAGAAATATCAGCTGTGCTGCTGCCATCAACACCTTTGTTTATAGATGTTGGACATCAGCCTGTTATCCAGTGTAGTCCTGTTTCTCTGACCGTGACTGGCTGGATGTGCTCTCTTCATCCTCTGACATGGGAGTTTGCTTGGAGCTTGTCTGCCTGGCTGTGTGTTTCCTGGACAGAGCCGCCTTTTACAGCTGCTTTCTGTATCTCTGCTTCTGTCTCCTTGAACCCCAGTCGGCCTCAGCAGATGGCCGCTCACACTGAGCCTGGTTCTACTGGAGGTTTCTTCCTGTTAAAAGGGACTTTTTTCCTCTCCACTGTCGCTACAAGCATGCTTAGTGTGAGGGATTGCATTCGAGTCAATGAGTCGATGCAATCAACTGGTTTTCCTTAGGTAGAAAACTTTGAATCAATCTGACTGTAAGATCTGGTGAACTGGAAAGTGCCTTGAGATGACATGTGTTGTGAATTGGTGCTATAGAAATAAACTGAATTGAATCCAAGCAACAAGTAAGCACTTTTCCCCCATGCAGCAGTAAAGCAATGCATCTATGAACTCTGAACAAGCAAAATTCATAAAATAATGAAACCCTGTAAGGAAACTTCTACATTTCTATGCTTGGCACACAAAGAAACTAAAGCATAAATTAGATTTTTAGCTAAATCATTCAGCTCGAGTCTGTCTGCTGTTACAAACTGAAGAAAGCTTAATTGTTGCTATTCTTTGTCAAGCATCACCCATTGAAACATAAAAAAAGGCTCTGTAGGCTTTAAAAAAAATCTTTTTTCCAGCACCAGTTTATTCAGGCTGAAAAAGAATTTTAGCAGATAAAAATAAGTCATATTTGGATAACCAGGGTTTAGGAATGTAGACAACCATTTGGAAATCTCAGAATAAATGATCTACATTTATTCATTTGTGGTAACATTATGAGAAGCAGGACAGTATAAATTGTAAATCTAATTATTTTGACATTTTTTAGAACCTTAAACCTTCGAACCTTCGACCGATTCCTTGCACACATACAAAGTGAAAAATTAATTGATATATAAATAATGCAACTAACTGCAATATCAAAATCCCTGAAGAGAGATCAGATTCATACAAACATCTGTGTATAGAATTTGTGTTTTTCACTTTGTGTGGTTTACTTTTATATTGTTCCCTTTCTAAGTGAATTAGAAGTGGTAAAAGTTTACGGATCTCTTCTCCATTTAACAGCAGAGACTATAGAGGAACAGACTCAGGAATGGAGGAAAACCACCACAGGAGTCCCATTTGCTGCACTTCTGGTCTATACATTTGTGCGTTACTCGGTTCGGTTGAAACCCAAACTGCAGAAGCTCCACTTCATGTTGGCACCAGGGAAGCCGAGGGGAATACAGCAGATCAGGTGTGACTTCAGCATAATCACTACAGGCCCCACTATGGTGGCTCTAGAAGGGCAAAAAGGGGTTTGTTTTCTGTAGCAGAGTCTGATTGAGGACTGTGTTCACTACTGGACAAAAAGGTCTGGAACCAGCTAGGAAATTAAATTAACTCTAATAGTCTGGAGAAAACATGAAAAAAAAAAAAAACACTGATTGGACGAAACCAGTTGATTTGTTTGGTCCCCGTTGAATTGAAGGTTTTACAAAAAGCAGTGGCCTAAAGGAAGCCCCCTGACAGGATCCCAACTTAATGTGCTGTTCCAGAAATCAAAGGTTACGACTCTTAATGAGTTCCAGCAGACTTCTGTGATTTTCTCACGACTCCTTCATCTACAACACGCTCTAGCAATAAAACCTCAGGCTCAATAACAGCTGATAATCTTCACTGCTGACTCCGCCCCCAGAATCAGCTACAGAAATGGGGTTAATGAACCCAATTTCTTCCTCTTAGCTGGTGATAAGCTTCCTCGTCTTCATCTTCCTCACACTGGGCTTTTACTCCCCTCCTTTCCTTATGTTTTTCCAGTCTTTTCAAGGTCGCATTCCTCCCATACTGACCCTTTATCAGGGAGGGCCAACCAGCAAAGGCATTCCACAAATTTCTCTCCTCCATGTCTCTTCCCCTAACATCTCTCTCAGACAGATTTTCTAATGTTTCCTCATCTACGCTCTACCCTTATCCACCAGCAGCATCACCCAGAGAACAGGTTAAGCCTTCATTGATAGCATAGCTGTTTGGGATCTCTGCACATCAGCTGTGCTGCGAGCGCCTGAAAATAATTCCTGTAAAAAGTCCCTTCCTGTAAAAACTTTATCTAAATCTGTCTCTGGGGAATCCTAGAGGCTGACGGTAAACATGCCAATGGCTTTACCTCATACCTGATTGGAAACCATCTCTAGCTCTGCAAAGCTGACATACAGCAAGTTAATTAGCACAACAGTTTTATTTTGCCTCATTTCAAGTGAATATGGAAGCTTAGATAATAAACGTTAAAAACTGACATACAACATTTTGTTCAATAAGATAGTCAAGCTAGTATTATTACCAAGTTATAGTTACATAAAAAATGACTGAACCAATGCTACAAATCCAGCTTACTCATTAGGGAGAACCAAGAGGTGAACCGACAGATGAAACAAAAACGGACTGATATTTGAAAATATGCATTACTGTTTAATATACTAATTTAATTATGATTTGAAAAGAA